TTGACTGGGAGCCCCAAAGAGCAATAGAGGAGAAGCAGAAGGGTGAGGGGGTCTTGGCTGCCTCTTGGGGACCCTCAGGGGACAGGGAGCTGTTAGCTAACAATCTGGTTCTGCCACCCGGGTGACTGAGCCTCTGAGCGCTGCTTTCCTCTCTCCTGCGCTCTTCCAGCACCCCCATGTGGAAGGTTCTGTCTGGCTGCCTCTTCCGCTTTCCTAGAACTCCCGGAGGTGCAAGAGCTGGGTCCTGGGCTCCCTCCCAAGGCCTGTCCCTTGTATAGAGGGACAGGAGGTAAATGAGGGATTGGGCTGCCAGAGACAGACCCTGGTGGTGGTGGGGTGTCCCCTGGGGCCGGAAGTGCAGTCCTACTATTAGCCAGGTAGTGGGTAAACACACCAGAGCCCAGGGCTGGGAGAATACTCTGTACCCTGTGCTTGGACCTTTTCAGCTGTCATGGCTTTTGGGGATCTCTTTGGGGTTACATTGGGGCTCCCAGTCCTTGATTATGGATTTATTGAGCACAGGTAAGATGAGAGTTGTCAGAGAACTGAGATGAAGGAAGGGGACACACAAGACAGTTTTAACACAGTGTGGAGAGTGCCACGCAGACAGCTCCAGGGAGGAGCAAGAATCCCCAGGAGACTTTAATGCATTCCTGATGCAGGACACGTGCCCGCTGGTCCTTCTAAACCCACTTGGGGTTTAGAAGTAGAACTGTAAGCGCATTGCATAGATGGATCTAACCCTTGTCCCTTAGGCCCAGAGATTGTGGGGGCAGACTTCTCTGCCCACATTGGTGGCCAGCCTGCCTTGCTTCTGGGCATTTCTAGCTCCTCAGCTATGCCCATAGGAAGGGTCTGAAGGCATCACCCAATTTCAGAAATAGATTGTCACTGCTAGCTGATCAGAGTTAACAGTCCTTATCCCTATCTTATTACCAGGCCCTGCCCTGCCATCACATGCACAGCTGGCCCAGGAGTGCAGGGACCTGGGGTTGCTCACTCTGGCTCCTTCTTTCTCTATGGACTTCCTCTGAAAGGCCCACACTCACCCACATCTTTAGCAATCAGGTTCCATAAGGAAAAACAAACATGACCAGTGGAATTACTTGTCCACACGAAGGTTTTAAGTCAAGAGAAGTGAAGCAGAGCAGAGTGGTTAAGAATATTCTGGATTGGAGGCTGGAGATTGTAGCTCAGTGATACAGCACTTACCTAGCAGGCGGGAGGCCCAGAGTTCAATCCCTAACACTGGGGCGGTGTGGGGGGGGATTAGATTGGAATTCTGCCCCCACCACTCACCATCCTTGACCTTGGGCAAGTTATTTAACCATTATGAACTCCCTAAGCTCCTTCACCTTATTCATACAAAGGGAAAAATTATATACAGATCAGAGCAAGTGGATCAGAGGAGGAAGAGAGGAAGGGGAGGTACAGGGAAAGAGGTTGATGAAGTTATGTGCGTGGATGAATATGGCATAACGAAACCCACTATTATATACCAAAAAGTAAATGAAAAAATTAAAAAATGACAGGGTAAGGGCATATATTAAGTTTTAATTCTTATTGTTCATTTCATAAAGTTGTCAGATTGAAAATAGTAAAAGTAGAATTTTTTTAAGAGAGAGAGGGAGGGGGAGAGAGAGAAAGAGAGAGAGAGAGAGAGAGAATTTTTATTTATTCTTTTTTTTTTAGTTTTCAGTGGAACACAACATCTTTTTTTTTTTTTGTATGTGGTGCTGAGGATCGAACCCGGGCAGCACGCATGCCAGGCGAGTGCGCTACCGCTTGAGCCACATCCCCAGCCCAAAAGTAGAATATTTTAAAAGAAAACATAAAATCTTATTTTACATATAAACTTAAAATGTCATTAAAAAGTACATTTTT